AAGAAATTCTGAATGATAAAGATGGAAGAAAGAGTTAATTACATGGCTCATGTCAATAAGATAAAAGGACTTACAAACCAATTAGCAATTATTGATATGCTAATTGATGATAAAAAAATTGAATTGATATTATTCATGAGACTTTTGGAGTCCTACAATTACGTCATTATGGCATTGAAATCTATCAATATGAAGGAACTTATCATGAATTATGTCATATGAAGACTTGTCTATGAAGTAACCAAAAAGAAAGAAAATGAGCTTCAATGTAAAGATTTGGCTCTATTTTAAGACAAGACAAATATTTTTATTTTTACTAATATGATAATTTATGATAAAATAATATAAAAAATTACTATATATGTAAAAAATTAGATTACTTTGCAATGAATTGCTACAAGGCCAAGAAATGAGATAGAAAAGATTACAAATAATGCTTATGATAGTTTTGATGGAAATGATTATGCTTTCATGGTAAGTGAAGGAGCCTCTATAGTTGTCATATTTAAGTGGATTAGAGATTTGAATGCTACTAACTACATGATACCATACATATATTCATTTGATACTTATGAAGCAATTTCAATAATAAAAGTTTAATTGAGAGATGATAACATGATACAAGCCATTGAAATTGGCTCTATTATAGTAGAAATTATTTTGAAGAATCAAATCAAGAGGATTAAATTGAAAGAAGTCTTACATGTACGAAAGGTGATGAAAAACCTCTTTTGGGTAAAAAAAACCTATATCATATGGTTGTAAGGTTTAATTTGATATAAATAGATATTTTTTGAAGACATTGGATAGATGGCATATTGCCAAAGGCTTTATAGTTGGAAACCTCTATTTCATCAATTGTAAGAAGATTAATGTGATTGAAGTAGCAACATTTGTTGATTTTTCAAAAGATCAAGACAAGTTTAGAATTTGGCATCAATGACTTAATCAATTGAATGTAAAAGGCATGAAATAATTTCAATCTATTATAAGTAGCTTGGATCTTGGCCAATTTAGCTACAATGCTATGCTACTTGCTTGTAAAGGTTGTATCCAAGGCAAACAATAAAAGGCTTTATTTTAAAGTATATTTGTAGCAAGTTGTAGAAAATTGTTGGAGATTCTGTATTCTAATATTTGTGGACCAATGAGAACACCATTAATTGGAGGAATAAGTTATTTTGTCATATTTATTGATAATTTTTCAAGAAATGTGTAGATTTACATCTTTAAAGCCAATAGTGAGTATTTTTCAAGTTTTAAGGAATTTAAAGTACTTAAAGAGAAGCAATGTGAGTGCAAGATCAAACTATTGCACACGGATAATGTGGGTGAGTATGTAATAAAGTATTTTGATGAATTTTGAAGATTCAAGGTATTATAAGAAAAACCTCTATTTCTTACATTCTACAACAAATTAGAATTATTAAAAGAGCAAATTGCACCATTGTAGAGATGACAAGGAATATATTTTATGCACAAAATTATGGACATGAATCTTTAGAAGAAACCATGGTTATAATAATGTATGTAAGGAATAGATGCCTTATAAGTGCACTCAGATCAATGACTCTACAAAAAGCTTAGAGTAGCAAAAAACCTTGTGTTTTACATATGAAGTTTTTTGAATGTATTACTTATACAAAGATACTCAATTATATGACGTCCAAACTTGAAGCAAAAGATATTAAATATGAGTTTGTTTTATATTGTGAAGATATCAAAGCATATAGGCTAATGTATTTAGAAACCAAGAAGATCATCAAGAGCTATGATGTAAGTTTTTTGGAGCATAAAAATACTTATGAGGACTTTGAGATGTCTCTAAGTAGAAGTCATGATATATTTGTAGACATATCTTCATTTCTAATAAAGAAAGAATAAAAAGATGATAATAATAAAGATAGTAGAAGTATAAATCAAGATGAAGAGTCAAAGAAGGTAGATCAAAGTATATCTATAATTACTAGAATCAACAGTAAAGACAATTAAGATGTTGAAGATGATGATGATAATGATAAATACCAATCTTTGAATGTAAAGAGATAAGTTTTAAGATAAAAGAAGCTTATAAGAGACATTGGAGTGCATGAAGGTTAAATAAAATATCCATTGAGAGATAAAAAAATAACTTGGTAAATGAAAGCAGAATCACATCTTTCTTCAAGTAAGTAAAGAATATATAAATATTAAACTCTTTACTAATTTATTGAATTTGTATAATGCAATAAAGTCCACAAATGCTATGAAATAGAAGAATGCTATAAAAAAATATATATATATATAAATTATTCATGGATAATAGAACATGGAAATTGAATCAACTTCTACCAAAGTAATCTTCAATTCTTTGTAAGTAAATGTTTAGAGCTAAAAAAGATGCAATAGACAATGTTATAAGATACAAGGCTAGATTAATTGCTTAAGGCTATTCACAAGTTGTTGGTATTGATTTCAATGAGACGTTTGCTCTTGTGGCCAAATTCAACACCATTAGAATCATTGTAGCAATTAGAGCTACAATAGACTTGGAGATGCATTAAATGGATGTGGAGACAACTTTCTTAAATAGAAGGTTGGAAGAAAATATCTACATAGATTGATATTAAGGATTTGTTGAAGGAAAAAAACATCTTATTTGTAAGTTGAAAAAAACCTTATGTGAACTGAAGTAATTACCAAAGGTATGGTACCAACGTATTGACCTATTTTTTTATAAATGAAAGATTTTTAGGGAGTAAGGTTGGTCATTCCATGTATGTAATGCAATCAAATGAGTTCATATTAATTATCATATTCTATATTGAAGATTTGATAATCTTAACTGATACCTTAAAAATGATGGATTGGTTGAAGGCAAAATTAGGAAAAGAATATGTAATGAATGATTTGAAAGAACTTTACTATTATCTAGGTGTGAAATTTATAAAAGATCCTACTAAAAAGATCATTAAAATGAGCAAAAACAAGTACATTAAATAAGTGTTGAAATGATTCAATATGATAGAATATAAGTGTATTGGAATACTTTTGGATATCAATTTGAAGTTGATGAAGCTCACAGATGAAAAATTTACTAAAATTAAAAATTAAATACAAGATATTTCATATAAGATAGCAATAGGCTTACTTATATATGCAATGGTTGGCATAAGAGTGGATCTTGCAAATGCAGTAAGTGTTGAGAATTAATACATGTGAAAGACAAGACTAATCCATTGGACAACCATCAAAAGAATCATGAGGTTCTTAAAAAGCACTTTATACTTCAAATTGTGTCTTGGAGGTAATAACATTACTTTGCATGGTTATTGTGATACAAATTGGACTAGAGATGCAAATGATAGAAGGTCAACAATAGGATATGTGTTCTGTGTTGGAATGAAAGATATTTTATGAAATTGCAAGAGACAACTAACAATTGCAAGATCAACAATGGAGGCAAAATAAATGACAACAAGCCATGGTGCAATGGAGGCAATATAGCTAAAATAACTTTTGGAGGATATTGGAGTAGTGCAAATATAAGCAACTATAATGAAGTGAGATAAACAAGGATGTCTTGCTTTTGCAAAGAATTAAAAAACATCATTTAAAGACTAAATACATTGACATTCAACATCACTTTATAAGAGAAAAGATTGAAATGGCAATGATTAATATGAAGTATTATGCAACAAAAGACATGCTTGCTAATTTGTTGACAAATGCATTAATAAAGGATAGATATTATATGTTGATAAAGGCAATAGGATTGAAAGCTTCTAATTAATAACAAAGTGGAAGTGTTAAAGTAAATAAGTAAAAGTAAGTAAGTAAAAGTATAAGTAAAATAAGTTATCTTATAAAAGATATTACCTTAGATAAATTGTTAATAGTTAAAGAATTGATTCTTAATGTATAGATAAGGCATCTTATGGATATAGGACAAGATCAAGAGCCAAATATCAAAGTTAAGATGCTAAAGTATCAATTAGAAAATATTCAAAAATTCGATAAGAATAATTAGTATTTGGCATATGATACCTTTGTAGTTAATAAGATGTCAAAGGATCTAAAGAGTATAGGATAACTTTGTAGTAAATTAAATGCCAAAAGATCCAAAGATTATAGGATACCTTTGTGGTAAATTAAATGCCAAAAGATCCAAAGATTATAGGATATTCTTATGGTAAATTAGATGCCAATGGATCCAAGAGCCATATATAAACAAGTCAATGAATAGAAGTCTTTTCAAGCAACAACCACCACTTATAAATAATGGATGTTAGAAAAATGAGTCATCTTACTGCATACCCTCTTTGTATGCAACCTTGCTAATACTATGTGTTGTATCTTCAAAGTGCTTTTTCTTCAATAATGAAAACATAGAATTAAAATTGCCAACAAAAAAAAACAAAACAAAACAAAACAAAAACAAAATCAATAAGATTTGAAATTCAAACAAATTCGAATTAATTTGGATCTTTGGCATACAAATAATAATTTTTAAAAATAAAAACTCTAATCTTTTTATTGTGTCCAACAATATCAATTAAATACATTCAATAGCCTATTTGTTTTATTCAAACCTATTTTTACATTCAAATCAAATGTCTTACATGGCCTGATGCAAGACATTGTTATTTTTGAGGAACATTAAACTTGTGAATCGAGTTAGCAACAACAAAGAACCATCTTTAATGGTGAATAATTACTGCATATAGAGTTTTTCAAAATTCTTCTGATTCATCATTCAATACTCATACAAAGACTTTGATACTCCTGGACTGGCTTGCCCTTAAACCAACCCTTACACCACAACAAGAAGTCATTAAAACATCTGCTTTACATCTATCTCTTAACTGAACCAGGACCCATCTCTACACCCTTCTGGTTTTAGCTTCCCAGCGGTTAACTATACTAATCAAAGGAGTCACATTAATACTACTTGTTCAGCTTGAGTTTGCCAGTTTCACTTAATAATCACAATCATCTGCAATAAAAGAAACGTTTGATGATGTCTTGTGACTAGCCAAAAGAAAGGAAAATAACAAATTTACTTGAGGTTTGCTAACATGGTCTTCATCTCCATGTCAGGAACGAACATAAGGCACGGATACTAGATCCTCTACAATACAAAATACTTTAAAGAGTAGTACAAAATCCTATCACCACGTCTCCCACCAGGCAACTTCACAAAAATCCTATTTAAGAACTTATTGCTTACCCGTCTATTGTTCACAACTGCGTCTGCCAAATTAACCATGAATCCAAAACCCTGATACACGTTGAACATACAATCTATAACCTGAAAGACGAAACAAACAGGTCTGAAGACTTTATATATGAAACGTTCTAGAATAAAAAGATGGCCCATCATAGAGGCTGTCCATGAAAGAAGGTGATAAGTTGCAGACGTACAACCGAAGGACTCCGAAATAGTGCAGGGCTCAATTCTTCAGCACAGTGTCATCCTATGCGAAACCATCAACCTCAATTTGGAAGAAACTTTCCACGCAATATTGCCTCTGCTTTGCGCACTTCCTTGACCACTCCAATGACAAAGATCTGTATCAAAAATCCCAACCAATTGTGGAGACAATCACAAAACTGCAATCTAATCTGGACTTCAAGATTCTCAGAAGCACATGGACAAAATGGTGACAGTCTCACCAACTTAAAGAACAAGCTGATCAATGACATTCTTAAATACCTATTGCCAGTTGACTCATTAGACCTGTAAGATATTATTGGGTCAACTGAGAGTTTGTAGAAATAAAAGAAATAGTGCAAATGAAGCCCAAGAATCACATTCCTGAACCCTAAATAGCACAGGTGCCGCAACATCAGAGAAATATGACATAAAACACGACGGTTTAGAGAGTCCTGAAGCAGGAAATCCACGTTTCTGAAATGAGGAGATGACATGAACAAAATGCTACATAAAAAATGCCAGGCAGAAAACTTGCCTTGTCTGGAGGTCCTTTCTGTCCCCCAATGAAGATGTCAGCCCTGCATTTTAAGCAAACAAAACTTGGACTCAATTTTAGGGTTTGTCAAATCAGATGTTTACAGAAATCATATGACAACATGCATATTGTGACCAATACACCTTAGAAAATGAGTAGTAAATATTCAATGATCCGCAGACAAATCCAATTGCGAGACATAAGCTGTACTTAACATCTTATGTGAAAGACATCCATATATCAGAACAGAAATGTCTAAGTAATATTTATTTCTATTTACTGAAAATTAGGAAAATAATTTCACTTCAGGCCCATGGAGTAGTTCCAGAGAATAAAGGTGTGTAAGATCATTACCTGCAGCATTGCTTGATGGAGAGTATGGAGGAACCCTTTCTACCAATAACAAGACCCATCTTTCCACAAGGAACATCTACTACAGCAAGTACCTCCTCTTGTGGAAGTTCTCCATCGACCGCTTGCTCTAATGCCGAACATAAAACCATGGTCATTCATTGTTTGAAGCAACACCAGAAGTTGCATAGGTCATGATCAATTTGACAAATAAAGCCATAATATAGAGGTGATTAGATGTGAAAAAAACCAAGATTAATAGTACGCATCATACCTGGAGGGGGTGGAAGGGGTCCACCTAAGAAACAATCAGCACCAACGCAGAAGCACTGGCAATAAAGGGAGCTTCGAACATGAAGACGCCACTTAGACAGATCCGTCAAGGACTTCACCATACGCTCATAAATGCAAAGAAGAAATCGCACGTCATCGGCTGCTACGCGTTTCATCATCACAGTCCACGGTCTATGCGCCCAAAATTGAGGATCCTATGCACAACATCAAGCCGCCAGTAAAAAGACCATGTTTGTCTTAAATTTATCATAACAATGCATCCTGAACTCCTCAAGAATGTGAGTTTTGGTTTCGTCGCAATTATTCTACAAAACAAGTGAATCTGGCTCTTGGTAAAATTAAAAGGAAAAAAAGGCTTGCATAAAAGTATAGAGTAATGTGGGTAGATTCGGATTCCAACCAATAGGTTGCCCTTTAAATAGTTCACGGAGATAAGAACTGAGGAATCATCAACATCTATTCAAATAAGCCTGTAAAGATATTTGGTAAAATCAAAACTGACCTTCCTCAGCAGCATTCGCACCTCCTCTTTCTCATCGTAAGCTACACCTGCAAATATAATAATACTTTCAGCATCATATAGAACTATTACAATACATCACTTGCAAAATTACAAAACAGAAAAGCAATAGCTGGAAATAAGACATTTCGGTCTAACAACACCTTCATTCCAAATGCATTGAGTCAAAATACTTTACAGCACAATACAAATGCAATCTTGACATGTGTAGTAACTTGATGTGAACAACAAGATGACATCGATTGTGATAATATGAGGCGGAATAAGACGAGTAACATGTTACAAAAAGTATGGGCACTCCTACCACAATACCGTTCATCTGCCAATAGATCCACAAAGGAAATGTAGTCATCAGGCATCCAATTCTTCCCACGTTGCTCTTCTAACAAAGAGAAGGCAATCTGCCATAACCCCCGAGACACTGTTACTTGCCAAAACTTCTCTGCTACCAGTGGTGTTAAAAGGAACGCCAGAAAAAAAATCAAGATTACAGAAGGAAAAAACAAAATAAAACAAAATAAAACTCCCATTAAATGGTAACAAATCAACCCACAAAAATGAATCAATTTGGAAGGCTTTGAATGACCTTTACTAGATACTCAACATGAACGATATAAGGGAAAGTGGACTGATGAGTTGAAGCGACTACTTGTACAGAGCTTGCTCTCATGACGCAAAAATTATCTATGAGGATCTCATGGACCATGGGCGAGCAACTGCACTGACCTGAGTGTCAAATACGTTGTTCAGTTTGATATTGTACTGGAAATACAAGGCCTGCAGAACAATCGAACGAAGGTTTTTGGAAACATAACCAATTCCAGACGAATCACACCATATCACGAAAGTGGCCTTCATAGTAATTATCACGAGAAAAATCAGTCATTCCATATTTCGGCATTGGAGAAAAATAGTACAATGAAACATGTAATATGTGTTACTTTCATTACATGTTCCGGCAAGATAGAAAAAGACGCCGCAGCTAACTGCGATGCACTTCTCATAACAAACATACATAGAACAAGGATACCACTACAGAAACATTGTTGATATGAATGAGACACCTATTATCTATGTTAACCATCGCTCGCAAATTAAAGAAATTATTCTGATCAGAGAAGTTTAAAAAATAAGCGATGAAAGGCACCTCACTGTCGCGCTTACAGTCATGACAAACTTTGATTATATAGGGCGACTCCAAGCCCAGTTTACAAGATTGCATCAATGCATTGCCTCCCAACACTGCGTCCACAAGGTAGACGGCGTTGTCAAATGCCAACTGCCATGTGAAAAAATGTAGGTGTGTCAGATTGGAAAATGCAATTTCGAAAGACCTGATACTTCAAACTCAGCTGGACTGCAAATGAGATATTTAATAGAAGAATCTGCTATAATTCCAATTCATCTTAACCACGAATACAAAGTTCCTAGTAGAAAGTGAAAATGCAACAGACACCCCAAGACAGACACAACAGAAAAGTTAAAGCTTGAGCAACGGTGAAAGTACCATACTTGCATGACACAGAGGCGGCCATAGCGGGCGAGATCAACTCCTTCACAATCGAAACCAATAACGAATGGCTGATGAGGATTGGGCCGCAAAAAGGACGTTGGGAGCTGTGCAGGATGAGTGACAATATGCACAGGTACAGGTGACATCCAGGGCTCCGCGTCGCTTGAGTGATTACGGCTCCTGCACCCTGGCCACTCCAACGTCAGTCCCATACCTGTGTATGCAATTCAACTTCAACTTCAACTGTCATTGGAAACTAGCAGCAACAACGAGGCCGCGAACAGCTAGGTCCATGCATTTACAAATGCTTCAAGGTCACTAGCGAAAAAAAGAAAACCAAATCCGCTAATTCTAAACAATTCAAGCTGAGCTAAATTCGTTTCCAACATCTTCATTTTCGACGTCTGACAGTCTGCTACCGCTATTTAACATCAGAACCTGTACTCAGCAACCAAGGTCTTCGAGCACTTAATTACCGCGACAGCTACGGTTAATTTACTAGAAAATTCCAATCACCAGGCTCCTCATGAACATTTCTGAGCTAAGATGAAAATACAGAACATCTGAGAATTTCAAAGGTTACACGAGATCATGCATATGACGGCTGCGAATTTCGTATGAGTAGTAGTGCTTACAACTCCATGAGAAAGAAGAACAAAAAGAGGTCACGAATATTAGAAGAGCAAACTCTGTGAGATATTCTTCATCTCATTTTTGCCAAGAGATCGTACTTACTTGCTGCCAACGATTGAGGGACATGTCACCTCATCGGAAATGTAACCTAGATCTCACCTAAGTTCAGAATTAAACCAACGAAGAATCTCCACGGACCCTTCGACTACAAAGCACCAATTATCCCCGCCTCTTCACCAACACACAACAATAACCTCGCTATCAGTCAAGACAACAGAAGAAAACGAACGGAACGCAACCCAACGCCGAATTCGAGATCCATGACATCGTACCCTCCACAGTAGTTTGCATGGAAAGGGGGCTCCCGTGCGCATCGAGCATGGACGGATTCATCCCATGCTGCTGAGAGTTCTGCCCAGGCGCAGCAGCGGGCAGACCGTAGACAGGCCTGTAAGCCCAACCGCGATCCATGAGAAACGTCAGAGCTCCGACGTCGAAGAAGAGACCTCCCGTGCGATAGACCTCAGTGATCCCTCCCCCCTCCCCCTCGACTCGGCGATCCCGAGTCGGGGTTTAGGGTTTACGAGCCCTGATGCTCGCAGACAATCGAGATCTCTTCAACAAATTCCTTCGTGACGACGACGACGATGATGCTCTCCTTCTTCGCCTTCTCAAGGCGCCACCGCCCCCAGGAAGGCCTCCCCTCCTGCACACGTCTATGCCACGCTGTCTGCCACGTCGGATTCATTCTCCCTACCCCTGTCGTCGATCGATGCGGGGATGGAACTGACGGACAGATGTTTGGTTTTGTCTCATTTAAACGAATGACCGCATCCCTGTGCCCGAAACTGAGACTGTGGTTCTCACTGGCAAGGATTTCATTTCAGAAATTTAATGAGTTTATTGTAGTGTAAAATATACATGTATGTACAATAGCAGAAACCCTTGTGATTGCGCACAAAAAAAGTTGGAAGAGTTTAATTTGTGGTTGTTAAGTTAGAAATCAATTGCTTCTAAAATAATGTCAATCAAGCAAAATATATATATATATATATATATATGTGTGTGTGTGTGTGTGTGTATATGCATCACAATGAAACCATTTATGTTTCCTTGGTTTTATTAGCACACATAATTCTTATTTACTACAACAACATATATAGTTTAGTCAAAAGAATTTTGATTATATAAAATACCTTGTATCTTAAATCTCTTCTATCCCTAGCACTTTCATTTGTCTTCTTTACTTCATTCCTTCATTCCTTCCTCTTGCTCTCTCCCATCTCTTTTCTCTCTAAGATCTGCCATTAAACTCTTCTAGAGCTGTCTAAAAATCTACCATACTATGGAAATCTAAATGTTGTAGACATTACTTTCTTTTTCTTCTACTTTTCATTATTCTTCCTTCAAAGCTCTTAGTTCCTTTTTTATCCCTTTATCTCAACATGCTACAACTAACACAATATAACTTAAATGTCTCTATCCTTCTATCTTCTAATTCCAATCCAACAATCATTTAATCAAATCCTTCTTATTATACTTCTTTGTTATCTTCATTGTCCTCGTTATTTGTAATAAAGCAACAACAATTATTGTTGGCTTCAAAGTTCAAGTTCATGCTCTCTTTCTTCACGGTTAATAAAAAGGTTTTTACATGTTTTTATCTTACACCTAAGTTGGTTTATTATGTAGATACTTATGTATTACAATTTTTTTTTTTCTATCTTTATCTATTGATAATATCAAGGGCATGAATCTCAAATAACCAAAACTTTAATATTCTCTTGTGTAATTCAAAAAGAATAGATACTCACTCAAAACTAATATAATATTGAAACTCAAATAGTTATTGAGAAAGACAAGAAGACTAAAATACCTTGAAACAAAACTAAGAACTAGAAAAGCATTGACAAGAGTGAAAAAGGCTTCATTCTTACTTGCATATATATTATCTAATTAAAAGCTATATAATAACATTCTATAGGACTTCTAATATATGTCTAATTTGCAAGGTACCTATCTTAACTTACAAATCAAGTTTTTTTTATGTATGCCACATCATTAGGTTGTACCACAAGCTATCAATATATGTATAACATGGCTAACTTGTGAGCTAAGTTTCTAACCTATCAATCACTTATAAATACATATGTAAGTGAAATCACATCTATAAAGCTTTTAAGAAGCTTTCCTATAAGATATTATCAAATTAATATATTTTTATATATTTATAATATTTATATAATTATTAGAGCAAATATGTATATCTTTAAAATTAACCTCCTTTTCTAAGAACAAGTTCTACAAGGAGTAATGATCACATGTTGACAAAGTCCAAGCTATGGCAAATTGTATTTGCTATATACTCTGATCTTTGTTCTTTTTTAAGATAGTTGATAGGTCCTTTCAACCATCAATAATATCCCATTTTAAGAAAAAAAGACCACCTTATTATTTGATCATTTTTAATACCTTCATAGCTTCCTTTAAATAAAATATTTGTAATACCATTAGGAGTTGTTTTTACTTCCAATAAAATTACCAAACATCTAGAATTTCTTCTAGAATTGTGATACCAAACATATTATATATTGCCATCTATTCGAAGAAGAACATATTGTTCTTGAAGATCTTCATTTTGATTATGTTGTCTTAAGGGCCATCATAATTTTAATGTTTCATTTGATAAGCTAGCAAACAATGGTTCCTAAATTGAATTTTTTAATTTTTAATTTTCCATTTTTTAGTGCTATAAATACATATAAACTACAAACAAAGTTAGAAAGTTGAATACAATCTTTTTTAAATTATAGTTCTTTTATAGCAAAGTTTTGCTATCTTTTATCTTCATTTTGATGGATGTTGTTGATGAAAAATATATTCTCCTTCTTTGTTACATTAACAAGATTCTCAGCTATCTCCCATATATATTTACTAATATCATATCTATGCCAAAGAACAAGATATTCTAACCTATTTCAATGTTGCCTTAAATCTAAGACTTCTTTAACTTCATATTCTTGGTTATTATCCACTTCTATAAAAGGAAATGGCATTTGTTATCTTTTTGATACATTTATTGTTTTATATGGCTTAAGAAGAGATATATGAAATATAAGATGGATCTTTATAGATTATAGTAGGTATAGTTAAAAAGCAATTGGATTAATTTGTTTATAAATTAGAAATGGTTCAAGTCTATAGTAATTCAACTTGTTTCAAGGATAAATAGACTTAATATTATAACAAAGTAATCATATCTTGTTGCCAACATAAAATTGAGATTATTCCTTGTGATAAGCATTTATACTAATCTTTTGTTGTTCTTTATCTTTTTTTGGTTTTTTTTGGTCGTGTCTTTATTGTTGCATGTAACTTTGACAAATAATTTGTCAAATCTTTTGCCAAAAGATTATAAAATTTTAAAAATTCAAAAGTATCAAGTCATTGATGATAACCATAATTAATAAAAAAAATTAAGTAGAAAAATATACCATATTATTATAAATAAATTTTTCTAATGGTAAAAAAATTATCCAATTATCTTATTAGTAGTTAATGGTACATCTCAAATACTATTTCAAAACTTATTTTACTTACTTTATTTAGCAATTAATTTAAAGATAGAAAGCCAAAGATATTTTTATTTCCATCTTTAAAATTTTAAAAAGAATTTTTTAAAATCTTGATACAAATTATATCCTTCTATTTGATATAATATCCCATGGTAATCCATAATAGCAATAGATATTATAATATAAAAGCTTAACTATTTGTTCATTTGTAATAGATTTTTATATGATATAAAATATGCCATCTTGATGAATTGATCTACTAATATAAATATAGAATAAAAAAAACTTGAAATTAGAATATTTGTGATGAAGTCCATAGAAAGAAAAGATCATGATTGTTTTAGAATAGGTAATAGTTGAAAAAGTCTATAAGATCAATGACAAGGAGTTTTTGATCTTGAAAAAATATTATGTGATTGTACAAAGTTTTTAATTATTTTTTATATTTAAAGCTACTAAAAATCTCTAGATATTAGATCTAAAGTTTTGTGTATCCAAAATATGTGGTTGTTGGAAAGTCGTTACAAGCTTGAAGAATATATAATTGGACTTTGTTTTTTGGAATATATAATTTTTATTTGAAATAGAATAGATTGTTCTTGAATTTAAAAATAGGAGTATCATAAAACTTAGAAAAACTATTCTTAATATCATAAATAAGAGAATCAAAGGACATAATTGATTGAACTTTCTTGAAAACTATTGAATCAACAGTTAATATTGATTTCATCATTTGAAGATGAAAATGCTCTAGCTTGAAGAAAGTTATTCTTTATTAATCAAGAGATGCATATCTTTCTTTTGGTATAAGATAAAAATATTTAGAAAAGATGTCTTATAAACCTTATTATTTTTCAGATTGATAAGTCATATTGAAATTAAATCTTGTTAAAGATATGTTCCAACAAGCTTGACAATGATTCAAAATACATGTCAACATGAAGTACTTGAAGTTCTTGCAATTTATATATACAATGATTGGATTGATTGTGCTTTTAAGATAATAAATCCATTCTTAAAATAAATCCATGATTACAAAAACTCTTTATCATAGATCTTATAGTTAATTTTTGACTATTGAAAATTTTTTAGAATAAAAAGCTACGAAGTAGAGCCTATCATCTACATCTATTTGTAACAAAATTATATCTACAATAAAATTTGATACATCTATTTCTATAAAAAAAATATCTTGAAAAATTCAATGCAATATAAGATTAGTGAAAAAATAAATAACATCTTAAAGGCTTCAAATGATGCTTCAACATCTTTGTTCTATTAAAGTTTGTCTTTACATGAAAGACATATAAATGAAGCAACAACTTAAAAAAAGTTCTTAATAAAGATTTAATAATAATTAGCAAATTCTAAAACATATTACACATATTTGATTATTATTAGGATCTTTCAATCCATGATATCTAAACCTACTTAAGATCCATCATAAAACTATTGTTTAAAATGACATATCCTAAGAAATTAACTTAAATAATGTGAGATATATTCTTTTCTATCTTGGCATATAATCTTGCATCTTTTAGTTTTTGTAATACATGATAAATATGAAATTCATGCTCTTCTATATTCTTAGAATAGATTAAGATATTATCCAAGTTATAGTCAATAAAGTCATTAAGAAATTCACAAAAGACATCATTTATTACATGTTGAAAAGTAGCTTGTGTATTTGTGAGTTCAAAAGACATGACATAATATTCAAAATGCCTATACTTAAGTCAAAATGTAATTTTTTATTTATTCCTCTCTATAATGCATATGAAATTATATGCTCGTTGTAGATCTATTTTCATATAGATCTTTGCTTGATTAAGTTAATCAAGAAGTCTTTAAATCAAAGATAAAAGATACATATTCTTGATGGTGATTTTGTTGAGTCTTCAATAGTTGACATATATGTATAGAGATCCGTCTCTTTTTTTCACAAATAAGATAAGAGCCTCTATTGGAAATTTAGAGTAGCATGTATAGTTCTTAGTCAATTTTTTATCAATGTATTTTTTAAGTGCAACCAACTTATTCTATAATAGGTTATAGATTGGTCCGAATGGTAGTTGAGTTCTTTCTTAAAGATTGATGGAACAATCATAGGAAAAATGCTCTAGGAGAATATCTACATTTTTCTTTTCAAAAACATCTTAGTAAACTTAATATTAACTTTGAATGCCACTTAGAATTTATTTTTAAAAATAGATATGATATATATAATAAACTTTGGTTCTTTTTTTGTAGCATGCATTAGAATCTTGCATCTATCAATAAATTTTTTGATGTATTGGACTTATAGATTTTTTTTTACTTAAGGATTTTTATTTGATTTTATATAGCAAAATCTTAGTTTAAACTATAAAAGAATAATTATTATGAAAAATCCAATCTATTTGAGGATTTTATTTTTTTAGCTATGATAATCTTAAAATAATTGGATTAAAAAAAGATTTAATCATATTAAATATTATTGAAATATTATGATCTTGTATTCTTACATCTAAAAGGACAAATTTACGGATGACATCTTTGAAAGACAACAAACAATCATCTATTACTTCTACATGCATAAGTTTGGTTTTTTTAACTAAAAATATTTTTTTTTCTTACAAAGTCTTTTTCTATAAAATAGATTGAGGTTCTTCAATTTAACAAGGCTAAGACTTTGTGATTTTTTGGTCCTAAAAAAATTTCTATTCTAAAATAAGATGGAAGATTTGAGAAGAAAATAGAACCTTTACTAAAAGTTGTAGAAGATTTCAACTGTATGGTCCCTATTGTAGTTGATAAAACTAATTTTTTAAAAAATTGTCATCTTTAGCAACCATGTTTTTTATTCTATGGTTGCATTGCTTCTTCAGATTATGTTGAGCAATGTATTTAGATTCTTTATAATATAAGCACAATCTTTTTTGATGATGTCAAATGTTTTCTTATTTAGTAAGAGCTTTGAAATATAACATACCAATTTGCATAGGTTCTGGTCTTGATGAATAAGCTTTTGTGAACTTAAAAGCTTTTGTCATGACTTGACTCATACCTCTCCAACCAAATCTTTGTTCTTGGCATCTTTCAAAGAATTAATTATCACATGCAAAGGCATAAGCAATAAATTCCTCTAATGAGTCTATTTTTAGTTTTTTTAATAATAAATCTTTGACATTATCTTTTAACACATATAAAAATAGATAATAAAGTACTTGTCATTCTAATCCATGTTGCAGAAGAGGTTTTGGAATTCAGCAGCATATATAGTGGCTGAATATGACTTTTATTGTAAAAATATAATTTTGATCTTTGCTATCTTTCGTCAATTACTTTCTACAAATATGGCCATGAAAACTTTCATAAATGAATTTAAAACATACAGTAGTTATGAATGTTTTTCTATCAAAGATGCAAACTAAAAAAAACACTCTTAAAAAGAAGTGCATCTATAAATCTAACTTAAATAAATTCTTTAGAATATTAAAAAAGATGCAATCTTAGATAGAACTTTACTTATTGTAGAAATCCTCAAAACTTTAATCTTGTTCTATCAAATTTTTTAAGTAAATTTATCCTTGCCTCCTTCATATTTGTAATAGGAAAATTTCTTGGATTTAATTGTGAATTTAATCTACTTACTTTTGTCAATTGCACAATTTTTTTGCATAAATTTTGAATTTTATTGTTGATCCCTTCCATAGGCATTGAAATATTATCTCCATGATTGATATTAGAATACTTAAAAATATTAATAAACTTGTGAAGATTTGTAATAGTTGCAAATCTATTCTCACTTATTTTGAGAGTAGTATCCTTAATTTTTTCTTCTATAGAATTTTTTAAAAAATCTATAACTTAAATTAGAAGAAGATAATCTACAATCTCTAATATCAAATAAAACTTTCTATAAAGAAAGATAGTCTATTCTTTTTAAGGAAAAAATCACTATTTGGGATTTAAAATATTAGATTGAAGGTTGATAATCTATAATCTTCAAATTTTAATAACAAAAGTGGGATAGTGTACTCACTTTTAAAAACAAGATAAAAATAATGAACTAGTATTCTTGTCAAATTGTCAAGGGTATGAATCTTAAAGAACCAAAAACTCAATACACTCTTATTTGGTTTAAAAGAATAGATATTTATTTAAAACTAATATGGTATTGAAACTCAAATAGCTATTGCCAAACACAAGAAGACTAAAAAGTCTTGAAATAAAACTAAGGACTAAAAAGGCATTGATAAGAGTGAAGAAAGCTTCCCTCTTGTCTCCATATACACTATCTAACTAGAAGCTATGTAGCAATATTTTATAGGACTTCTAACATGTGTCCAATTTGCAAGACATGTATCTTAACTAGTAAGACAAGTTTCTTATATATGTATCATATTGTTAGCTTGTACCACAAATTACCAATAAGCACAACATGTAACTAATTTGTTAGCTAAGTTTCTAATCTACCAATTACCTATAGACATGTATAAAAGTGAAATCACATCTATGAAGCTTCTACAAAAGTTTCTTACAATATATTATTATATTAACTTAATCTATTCATAATATTTAAGTAACTATTAGAGTAAATATGTATATCTATGACAAATAATTACTATTGAAATTTGAAGAAGGTAGCCTATATAGCACACATTAATTAAAGCATAAATAATCATATTCTCTTTGTAATTAAATTCTTATTGTTTCTTCAAAATCAAGTAAAATTTGTTAATCATATAAGCAACAAAAAGAATTTATATTAAACAATAATTCATCAATAAATTTTAATTAATATTCTATTGCTCTTGTATTATAATATGATATCATTCTTGATAATTTCTTGTTTGAAAGTAAATCATATATGTAATTCTAAAGAGCTAGCTTATAATCTTTTACTAACTACTTTATATACTTAAATAAGCTATAAATTATAACAAAGACTTTATTTTTATTTTTTGACACATTCTTTTAATGATACACAAGATGGATGTATATGGTCTTAATTATAATTTTTTATGTTGAATCTTAGTCTATTAATTTGAATATAAAAAGAATAAATTTTATTTAATGTATAAGTTTATGTTTTTGATAAATTATATTAAAATTTGTTCATAGATTTTAATTTTTAATTTTTTTATATGCAAAAAACTTTGGATTCTTACTTTCATTATATGTATATAAATGATATATTTTACAAGACAATCGTATACCTTTAAAAGATTTTTTTTGTTGATTTTTGGATTAAAAATAAACTTTAATTTTAGTTCATTTAATATCTATAATAAAAATTTAAAATAACAATTGCAATATATCATTATGATATAATGTCTTCATTTTGATTTTTTTTTTACTTTTTTCAAACTCATAGGTGTAATAGAGATGAAAATACAAATTCAATTAGAATTGCAGTATATTTTTTGAAATTTTTGGTGTATTCAAAGATTTGTTTAAAAAAAAATTAGTATGAATATTGTTTGAACGCTCTTAAAATTCATGCATCCAATGGATCAGAATTTTTTCATTTATTTATTTGTCTATTCATGTAACATTTCTTTATTTTAATTGCTAAAAAAACAAAAAACTATAAATAAAGTAACTTCATAAAGGTATGATTTTTTCCATATTTTTATTAAATAGTACAAAATAATTCAATTGTCTATTATAAAGTACTACTTCTTTATAAATAGGTTTATTTGGACATTTGATATAATTGAATATATGTGCAGTCATTGTCCATGGTAATTTCAACAGCAACTCTGGAATCATTTATGGATTAAAGTTTAATTTTCTTATATGAGTTCTTTACACTGTGTTTTACCATCAAATAATCTTCTAATATTTAAAATAAATATTATAATATGAAATGTAAATAGTATTAATTTTATTTTTTAATGATTTGATTATAAAACTTTAAACTGTGCTTTTGGTGGTTACAGATTATTACACAAATTGTGTTCTAACTAATTGAGATATCATAATTACTTTTTACACAAACTGGAGGGACCAAATTTGATAAATTCTCCACATATTAATTTTTTTTAAAACTTAATTTCTAAATATAATTTTATTTTGGTATCACATGAAATAATGAGAACAAAATTTTAATCTTAAAAGTATAAAATTGGTTTATTAACTTTTCTTTCAAATTTTAAGAAAGTGAAATAGATACTGCATTATTATCATTTACAAAAAAAATATCAATTTGAACAATGACAAGTTTATTATCATGCAGATTTTTCATATGTAAACATTTTTCAATGCACAATGCAACAAACAATGTAGTTTGATTCTTCTATTGATATCCTCATGATATTGTACATACCTTCTATATAAACTTGTGTCATTGGCCACAAAAAGCATTGTAAACTACTTGTTATAAATTAATCTTTTGTGTGAAGCTTCATATGTTGTGAAATTCCATGTTGCATGCCACTCTCCTATGTTCTATGTCATTTTTATGTTGTGATGCTTATGAGGTTTCATGTTTAGTAATCTTGCAATGCAACTCTTGGCAATCTGCAACAATAATATGCAGATTTTGATATCTAATTAATCAAAAGTTGTATTATTGCTTCATTTATGCTTCATTTTTGATGAAAAAAAAGGAGATATACAACCAATCACAGATTTTTTATTTTTTATCTCCTTTGATTTATCCCATTGGTTTATCCGTTGAGCTGTTTTATAGAAGAGATTTGTGTGAAAGGGTATTTTAAACTCCCAGACACCAGAACTCGGCGCTCTTGGGGTGAGTCCATTTCACAGCAAAAGAGATCCACTCTTACAACCGCGGAAGAGAAACCAACTGGCCTAAAAGCAGCGGATGAATAATACTCTGGATGATTCGGATCATCCCATGGGTTCGAAACACAAGGAGGTTCTGGAGGCAGCCGCCCTGTTCAAGCTTGCGTACTCTCGTTGAGTGTTGCTGTTGCTGTTGCTGTTGTGCTTTGCAACTGTTGCTGCACTTGCTCCTCCGTCCCTCTCTTGATTCATCCAGGTATTTTCCCCTGCCCGCCAATCACTCCACACTCTGTTTCGCTTCAGATCGGCGCTTGAATCAGGTGCTGTGGTCAAGTGTTTTGCATTTGTTCCCATCAATGATAACTAGGGCTTTAGGGCGGGTTTAGCGAGTTTCGAGACATCGTTGAGATACGAACACTAAGGGCTGTGATCGCCGTGAGCCCTAGCATTTGATGCAAAGAGAACGAAGAATGTGTGAAGTTGTGTTCGAGACAATGCGGTTGTGTAGTAAGTTGGAATTCAAATATTTTTTATGTAGATCTGTTAGGGTTTGAGCTCGGATGAATCCTTATTGTAGTTTTTCTGGAATAGCAGGGAGGTTCAGTGTACGTGCTGTTGCAGTCGCTGTTCCGCAGGCGCTTGGTTGCTGAGGTCCGTCGACTGTCACCATGGTACACCTTTCTCACCGTTTGCAGTATTTTACAGTTATTTTTCTTTGTGTCTTTAAATGCTTGAGTTCTTGTTATTGTGGTTGCGTTCGAAGGACGTGGATTTTTCGTCGATGACCAACTTTATAACCTCCTATGTTGTGCTAGATTTTTGGTTTTTGGTCGTTGGTCTTTGTTTTGTTTTGAAGTATCATCTGCGATTTTTTTGTTACGATGATGTCCTTTCTTCGTGTTTTGGTCTTGGAACAGCAACCTCAAATCATTCTGCTGAAAGAAGGGACGGATGTCTCTCAAGGGAAAGCGCAACTTATTAGTAACATCAATGCTTGCATTGCTGTTGTGGATGTCGTGCGGAGCACCTTAGGTCCCAGAGGGATGGACAAGCTTGTACATGATGACAAAGGTACTACCATCTCCAATGACGGGGCCACGATAATGAAGCTCCTTGACATTGTGCATCCTGCAGCTAAAGTGCTCGTGGATATTGCGAAGTCACAGGATTCAGAGGTACGTCCACCAGCGCGCCATGATAGCATCGCCTGCTTGCGTTTCAGGAAAATGATTTTCATGTTCGTTGACACGATTTTCGGAATTTTCAAGGCAGTGATTGGCATCAATCCGATCCGATCTTGTTGTTCTTTTTGTTAAAACTCTTTGAGTAGAGGAAAGAGCTTCTTCGGGGGTTTTTATTGAGTGTTTTTCTGTTTGGGTATTATGAAGGTTTCCTGATTTACTGTGGCCTCTGAACGTAGGTGGGTGATGGAACTACTACCGTGGTGCTCCTTGCCGGAGAGTTCCTTAGGGAAGCCAAGCCATTTATTGAAGATGGAGTGCACCCACAGCTTATCATACGGGCTTTCCGAACTGCAGTAAATTTGGTTGTAAAGAAAGTTAAAGAGCTCGCAGTAAGTATCGAAGGAAAGAGCATGGTTGAGAAAAAGAATTTGCTTGAAAAATGCGCGGCAACAACTTTGAGCTCTAAGCTTGTCGGAGGAGAGAAGGAATTTTTCTCCAAAATTGTTGTTGACGCGGTTACAAGTCTTGGAGCAGATAGCCGCCTCAGCATGATAGGAATAAAGAAGGTAACTGACGCGATTCTTCAATCCAAGAATGTGCCAAACGCTTTCATATCAGGGGACGAACCATGTAAAAGAACAATGGATCACTCGATTTTTTCTATTGCGGATTTGATTCCCCTAGCATCGGCTGCGTGTAGAATAGACCGTGACGGTACTGTGAAACGAATGCAGTGATTGTAATCGTGAGTTTTGGCAAAGGGTGACCAATCTGAGCACAATCATTGCACCATTTCTTCTGAGCAGGTTCAAGGTGGAACAATGAGAGATTCTTTTCTGGTTAACGGAGTAGCTTTCAAGAAGACTTTCTCTTATGCCGGGTTCGAACAACAACCAAAGAAATTTGATAATCCAAAAATCCTGCTGTTGAATCTTGAGTTAGAACTCAAGTCCGAAAAAGAGAACGCTGAAGTCAGGTATCGGATTTCACTGTTGCTTACACCCATCGTATGTTATTTGTGCGGATGGACCTGTACATTTAAATTGCTGCAACTTTTCGGGGCTTACGCAGTTCAATATCGAAGATATCAAAAGTTATGGCATTCTGATTTTTTGTCTGTTTCTGCACTTCTTAGTTTTACAGTGAATTTACTTTTTTCTGAGTTCCTGTAGATGACGATGGGAAGGGACTTTTACCTAGTATGCATGATTTCAGTGCTCCTGTGTCTGTGAACATGTTTGGTTAGCACTACTATCTATTCATCTTTGTATTTTCAGTTTCGTCGTCACTGTAGTTGGAAGTGTAGAGTTTTCTTTACTTCGGTCTCTATTTGCCTAATTGTTATTTTTGCGTTATGTTTTGCAGGCTCTCCGATCCCACTCAGTATCAAACTATTGTAGATGCTGAGTGGAACATCATTTATGAGAAGCTTGACAAGTGCGTAAAGAGTGGTGCCAAGATTGTCCTATCAAGGTTGGCTATAGGAGACTTAGGCACTCAGTATTTTGCCGATAGAGATATCTTTTGTGCCGGGCGTGTGATGGAAGAGGATTTACAGCGCGTAGCAACAGCGACTGGCGCGTCAGTGCAGACAACCGTCAATAATGTGATTCCGGATGTAAGTGTCTTAGGGTCTAGCCACGCCTTAACGTTTCGAAATAGCTCAGATCCCGTTTTTGCTGGCAATACAGCCCCGCGTTTGCAAATGAGGTCTAAACTTTCTCATATGCGCTCGGAATCTACCCAAAATGATTAACCTAAGTGTAACAGGCGTCAATTGTTTAAATGTAAGCAGCTGAATAGTTTGTGTTGACTTTCTGTTCATGATTTCAATATTCCAAATTTCTTGATGCCATATGCCTGAAACGTAATTGTTTGGTAGGTACTTGGCCAATGTGAACTTTTTGAGGAAAGACAAGTTGGAAATGAGCGCTTTAACATCTTCACGGGATGTCCAGGCGGTGAGACAGCAACCATTGTCCTGCGTGGAGGCGCTGACCAGGTGACGTTCTCGATGTTTTTCTAATGGTGTATTTATGAAATTTTTCTATCTTGATGAATATCTGTCTGGGTGCTATTTTATATTAGCAATTAAGATAGCCAGGTGTAAGTCTTTCTCAAATAGTTTTTTCTTGTTAGTAAGAAGCGTCCGTAGCAGTGAAATTGTTCAGATTAACTTCAAGATTTTTCTTTCTGAGTTTCGTATATGGGCTGACGGAAACTTGTTCATTGCAGTTTATAGAAGAGGCGGAGCGGAGTCTACATGATGCAATTATGATTGTGAGAAGAGCACTCAAGAACTCGAATGTTGTTGCTGGTGGTGGTGCTATTGATGTAAGTGAAATTGTTTCATGCTCTTGCCTAGTCATAGTATTTTTTAGAAATTGGGGTTTTCATGATAATAACTTGTCCAATGGCAATTTTTTGCTGCTTCCACGCTTTCTTTGACATATGTGGTGGATTTACAGATGGAACTTAGTCGATATTTGCGTCAACATGCCCGGACTATTGCCGGGAAATCACAACTCTTTATCAACTCGTATGCTAAGGCCCTCGAGGTATTGCATCCGTCAAATCTTATGCATCATCGAATTTTAATCTAACGCAACGTTGTACAGTCTATAATTACCGTAGATTGCGGTGTCCGAGGTTTTAGTTCTTATTGTGTGACGAGTCCTGCTGAATTTGAGCCAAATGTTCTGGTTCGCAGGTTATCCCCAGACAACTTTGTGACAATGCAGGATTTGATGCGACTGATGTGCTTAACAAGCTGAGGCAGAAGCATGCGTTAGCTTCAGGTATTTTTACAAGTCCAATAGAGAATATGGGATAAAAATAAATCAACTCGTTGACTCGCAACGAGTTTTCAGTTATCTTTGATTTGGGACAGCATTATTGTCGTTGCGGCAGGGTTTTGACGAAACATGTAAACTGTGCGCAGGGGAAGGTGCCCTTTACGGAGTAGACATCAACAGTGGTGGAATTATTGATACATTTTCCAACTTTGTCTGGGAACCCTCTGTTGTGAAGGTAGATTTGCCAGCCTTCAAGTTTTCTTGATAATATCGTGTACCTATCGTATCTACGTACCCAAATATTATGTTTTTTCTGTGTAAGTGCCAAGTCGCACTTTCTGCTTCAGTGGCCTTTTGTATTTTTCATGGTTATACCTTGCCTTTGGGTACGTGCAAATCGTTTTTCCATCAGAATTCTAACTTGAATTTGGCTCGACACAGATCAACGCCCTCACTGCTGCGACAGAGGCAGCCTGCATTGTTCTTAGTGTAGATGAGACAATTAAGAACCCCAAGGTACACACGGCACTTTTCTGTTAGCGGTTGTATGGATGTATTGCTGTTCCAGTGAATGTGTTGTAGAGTTGCAGTTTGTCCCGGAGTGGCTTGGATATTTGTGCAAAGTTACCGAAAGTTCATTGCTTATTCCTGGGTTTGGAGCAGAGGAAATTGTTTAGGTAAAGCTCGTGTTCGCAATATTGTATTACTCGTTGATCTGCATAACTAACTTAATAAATCCGTTTATGCAGTCTGAGGCTGCCCAAGGGGAAGCCATGGGCGGCAGAGGTATGGGTAGAGGTATGGGCGGCATGCGTGGTGGTCGCGGCGGTCGCGGTATGCGCAGACGGTAGAAAGTGTACTTCTCGTTGAGGACGATGGCGTAGTTTGTGATTCGAAACCAATTTTGAACGCGACGGTTCTTTCTTTCACTTAGCAACACTCTGCATCTGGAATTTGTTAACCTCATCCCTCATCACGAGTACAGCGATGTGCAGTTTCAATCTGAGTGTAGTCTTCGCTTTTCCATTTGCCTCGTGTTTAAGTACTGTGAGGTTATTCAATGTATTCTCTGTACACAAAGAAGTTCAGTTTTATGGCCAGTTACAGAGTTTTCATTCAGTGCAACATCATATCTAAGTGTAGTTTTGCTTGTTATCAAGTGACGGTTTTCTTGTTCTACTCATATCTGATTTTAAGAACCACTCAGACTTCAAAAAATCTTATTCACTGTGGACGCTTTTTCTCCTTCCAATAACTCCGCTCTTCAATTCTTTCGTAACAACCTTGGGTTTCTTGTGCCCTGGTTTTTTTTAATGTTTCTTGATTGGGGCCTCGAGCTTTGATTCACAACCCGCTCGGGCCTTGCAGACCACTTGTCAAGCCTCGAGTTTTGATTTAGTCGAGCATTGCATGACTTTTAAGTAGAGATTGCTGACGCTCCGATCACCGTATGGTCATTGTGTCCCATGGTGTGCCTAGAGAAAATTCCTCCCAGTCTGGTACATGATTGTGGAAATAGGGGTCGATTTTGCAAGTTTCGAAGTACTTCAATTGCTTTTATTGAGCATTCGTATGAGATTTACATTTTTCTTTGAAGATATTTCTTGCGAATTTCTTAAATTGTAGTTGTATTACGGATTTCGGAGCAATTTTTGTGAAATGATTCCGTCAGTGAATTTTTTTCCTTTATTTGCCTTCTTTTTTGTTTTAGTTTTCGCACAACAGCTTGACTTTATTTTGTATAAATTTTGGTGATTGTGATTACTTTCTGGGGAACAGTAATTGTACATGTTGTATTAAAATGGAGTTAGCAAAAAATTCAACTTACGTCTCAAGTGGTTTTTCAAAGTAAAAAGAATTTGTTTCTATATCTGTTAAAGACGTAAATGGGATATTCATGTGTGTTTTTGTTGGTTTGATATGAAATCACCAATTTATCAACACACGATCTATGAATAGTTATTTGTGGTAGTATATTTGCTTTACATAGGAGTTCCTTTACACATGAGTTGAGACTCCAAGAAGTTGAAGTCAGGACTGAATTTATTCTACAGTTTAAAAACATTTGATCTTCATTTACAATTTAGACTTGTATATGATTATTTCTGGAGTATTCTGTGTTAATTCTTTGCTTCATTTAATTGTTAAATTTATTATTAAAATCACATTTATGGTTATGGGAACATATATAATCTGATTAGAAAAGAATCCTTGCATTTGTATGAGTTAATGTGACAAAAAAACTATATGTGGAAGCATAATTCATACAAAAGATCAAAAGAATAAGTTTATGTAATATTTAGAATATTTGTAATATTTTATTTTTAAAATAATTTAGTTTAAAACCTTTTATATAAGAAAGAATAATTTTGGTGCCACTAATATTAAGGATATTGTATTCCTTCTTATATCAAACTCTAGTTTCCAAAATTATACTCAACATGACATAAACATTTTAGAATGATGGCTAAATAATGATGCCAAACCTTCATCCTTTGTCTATTTAATGTTAAGTATATTTTGACTTTCTATTTTTCTAAATCCTTCATTGTAACAAATTTGTGAATTTTGCAAGCTATCTCTTAACTTCTACATTTATTAACTTTTATGTTTATGCTAACTTGTCTTATCATATCTATCAATTATGTTTAGTTTGTGTCATTGCCAATTTGCCATAATAGTCTTTGGCTAATAATATTTAGTCCATGTTTTTACCTTAAATTTTTACAAGACTATTTTAATTGCAAAGTAATCACATAATCATATGACTAACATGTATTTAAAGACTTGAACTATCATATAAAATTTTGAAACTTCCAGTCTGTTTTTTTATTTATTAATTTTTCCTTAAAGTTATTTTATTATTGTGTATTAACTAATATTATAGATAGATAATAAGATGACAAATCTAAAGCATTCAAATCTAATAATAAAATTTCTACAAGTAGCTTTTTAATTCATTTTTATTTGTGATCTATTTTTAGTTTTTATCCATATTAAAGGAATTGAAGGAATTCATTTGTAAACTTGTTTTGAGAACATTTATTGAAATGGTTAATATATTTTGCAATTTTGTTAAAAAAATATACATTAGTTTAAAAGTTTTTCTAATTAAAAATTAAGAAAACAGACAATGAAATAAAAACATTATTTGCAAGTTGCAACTAACAAACAAAGTTGGTAGACAGATGAGTGCATTTTTTTAAAATACTACAAACAAATAAATCTACTTCAGTATTACAAGATCTAGTCTAACTAATTAATTTGCATTATTTAAAAAGAAATCATGTATGTTTTTAGAGCAACTTAGAAAGATAAAGAAAAAATGTATATATTTCTTGCAAGTGATTGTTTAAAAACTAAAAGAACATATATAAATATTCTATATTTAATTTAAAAAATATTGTGAGTGATAATATAGTAGATGGATGAATTTTGATTATTTGAGTTCACTAGATGTGACATCTAAAAAAAAAAAGTAATTTGTAATATGACAATACTTTAAATTTGCAAGCATCTTTGTATACAAATTCTGGTGTAATTTTATATTTTAAACAAATATGTTAGAAACAATATAAAGATGGTCTATGTACTACATGAATTAAAAAAAATTGTTTTTATTACATATAAAAATATGTGTATATTATAGAGTAACAATTTTTAAAGAGTTGTATTGAATTATTTTGTAATCTTTGTTGTAAGTTTTATTCTAATTCTTATGATTTTGTATATGAAATATTTATTAATTTTCAGATATATATATATATATATATATATATATATATATATATATCTGTATATATATATATATTCGAAAATTTTAAATTTAAAATAAAATACGTTTAAAACAACAAATAATATATTATATGAGAGTAACCATGTGCATTAACTTCCAAAAATTATAATCTCAAAATACTTATTCCAATGTATATATATATATATATATATATATATATATATATATATATATGTGTATAATGCACACACACACACACACACACACATATATATATATATATATATATATATATTGAAAACAATAGAATTTTGTATCAATGCTTTTTTGTAAGTACATCATGTGCACTATCTATAATAGTAGCATATCTAAGTTATTAAACAGGGGTATTGCTAATCCCATTTTTGGTTTTTATTTATATATTTAATTTTTCTTCTACAATCCACTCAATATATTTCTTAATTATTTTGTTATTCCAATCAAGAACTTTATTAACATTTATAATATATTATTTTTATTTACATATATATATATATATATATATATATATATATATATGTTTGTTCTTTTTTTTTCAAATTGTATAAAATTAAATCAAATATGATGTATTAATAGTTATAATTTTAATAAAAGTATGTAGTAGTAGTATTAGCAAAATTTTTGGTAACAAGTGGTTAATAAAAGATTGTAGTGGCAGTAGAAACATTTTATAAATTATATTTCTTATAAATTCTTATTTAAAATTATGGTTATCAAAGTTTATAAAATTGATTTTTTATTTATGTATTATGGTAGAGAGTTTTATAATAAATTTTAAAATTATTTCTTTATCTTTTTGTTTTGTATTGTTTTGTTTTGTTTTGTTTTGTTTTGTTTTGTTTTTTTTTTTTTTTTCCTTTGTCTTTGAGATATTATTAAAATAAAATTTTATAATATGAGCTTATAGAAAAGCCAAAATTAGAAAATAATAAAATTATAATATCAATAAAATTACAAAATTTAAAACAATAGAAATTGTATTGATACATTTGTGATAAAAAATATTGATGAATTTAATATTAGCATATATGATATTTCTTTAAACTTGTATGTATGATAAAAAATATATATACTATAAAACTATGCAAGTAATAGTTAATGTGAAACGTCAAAATTCTAATGTTTTAATAAACATCTAATATCTTTAATGATAAATTGAGCAGAGAATAAATCTATACATGAAATTTTAAATATGTTTGGCCATAAGAGAAACATGTTTATTTAAGTAGAGAATATTGTTCCCACACTCAACGTTTATATTATATTTCAAGTTCTATTTTTCTATAGGGATCCTCTAGATCACCTGCATATATATATATATATATATATATATATATATATATATATATATATATATTTTAATGTAGTTCTTAAAGCATACAATAATGCTTTTGTAATGATTCAAATTACAAGTGCCTTGTGTAAATGTTTTAATGTTGATGAATTAATCAAGTAAAAAAAACAACTGATCATAGATATTTAACACCTACATTTTGTTTCTTGTCATATTAATGCTATCAAAAGCTTTGGGCTAAGCTCATAAATCTTTAGTCTACTAATATTGCCTTTTATAATATTTTCTAAAGAACGAAATCTATTTTCTTGCGATTCATCTATAAAATATATTTTAAAATAGATATGCATTTTATAAATTTTTATTGATTCCCAAATTCTTTTATATTTTCTATCCATCTATTATATCTGTTTTATGCTTTCTAATACTATAGAATCACCTTAAAAATACTAAAGGAATATTTTCTTACAAAGACATATCTACTAATCCATTAAGTGCACCACATAATTTAAATACATGTTAACTATCTCAAATATTAATTTAAAGAAGATAATTTTTAAATTCATTTTTTAAAATAATAATATTCAAACTATAGACAATTATGCACTTTTGTTCATCTTGACAAAAATCCTAATAACATATACCTTGTAAATACTTTATCATATGTCATTTCATATCATATTGTTTACAAATAATCTTTATGAATCCATTTTTTTCTTTGTCTTATTTTAGGCTAAAAACTTTAAATCAAAAATAAATTAATATATTAAGATTTGAACTCGTAAAGAGGGGTGTACAAAAGATAAAAAGAATAAAAAAACCCTTTACAATAACAAATCTTGTACTTACTAAAAAAATAATAAAAAATAAATATAATATTCAAAAAGCATATATAAACACAATTCTTAATACAAGCAAACATAGCATTGTTTTAGTTAATTCAAGTTATTTTCTATCCTTAGATGTTTTTTGTATGAAAATATGTTTTTAAAATAAGTTATTTTAATAAAAAATTTAGAGTAGAAAAGACAAAGAAAAACTTTTTATTTATACTGTCACTTCATAAGTTTGAATAAACAAAACCATACTAAATGGCTTCAATGAACATTTTTAT